TTTTTTAATGTATTTAATTAAAAATAATTACATAAAATATAAATACAAAAATAATAATTATATATTTTATATATTTTTTCATATGTTACAACTTCAAACTTTTGATCCACATTCAAAATCGAGCTAGAAAAATATTATAATAAATAAAATCATTGAAAAAAATTAATTTATATAAAATTAAATTGAAAACTTAAATTATTTAAACATTAAAACATAATTTTTTTCTATTTTTTAATTAAATTAAATTAACTTAAAGAGCAAGAAAGAAAGGAGAAACCTAACAAACTCTCCAACTTATAATCTAATTAATAATGCTTTTTTTTAGTATTTTTGCATCACAAATACAAGTTAAAAAGTCACTTTAATTGAGTTTCACGAGTAAGGAACGATGTAAAAAATTGTTCAACACATGGCTGTAGATATTGATATAAATTTAAAATTGCCTGGAAAAGTTCTAATTGTGTAAACAGTGAAAGATAATTACAATCTGTGTGGACGAGTGCCAAGGGCAGAAGTGGGATGTATAGGGTCATACAATCACTACGTGAGACGCACCACCTAGCGAGGAGACTAACACGTTTGACTAATTCATTTTCTGCTAGTTTAGTGCTTTGTTATGTTTGTATGTATATGTCATTATGGAACCTGTTGTGATCCTAACGACTGTGATATTAATTGCTTTAATTGTGGGTATTGTGGCTCAAACGGTGATTTCTCAAATCAAAAAGAGTCGTAAGAAGAACAAAAAACAAGTAAAAGACACTAAAAAGAGGTATTTTTCACATTCTTTACACTTATTTACGTACTTTCTTTTCGACTTAATTGCTATAGTCTTTTCACCATTTCTCCAATTTTCGTATTTTTTAAAATATTCTATACTTTGTTGTACTTATACACGCGTTTGTCTAGCCATATTCTTAGTTTTTATTGTATATTTTTAGATACAGTAGCTCTTAATTAACTATACAGCTATTTATATACATCATACATCTTTATATACACTAACTAGAGACAATATACATTTTTACTTTATTACAGTTTCTGACAATGTTTTATTAAGATTTTTACCAACTTTTTTTGTTTTTTAAAACATTATTTCTCTTTTAAAAGAAACTTTATTTATTCCTATTATTATTTATATTTCATTTTCTCTATCATTTTTATAATTTTGCATTTTTTGCTGTATTTATATTGTTAAATATATATTTAATTAATTATTTACTTATTTAACTTATTACGACTTTTCTGTTTCTTAAAAATGCACAAAATTCTATAATTTAAAATAAATTTAAGTGGTAATAAAAATAATAAACTCGTGACTAATAATTAACAAATGTATCTGTTATTAGTTGCCCCTGTAAAAGTATCTTTTTATCATAGCATAATGCAGCAACCAGCTGACCTCGTTGTTAAGTATAGTTTATTCTTTCTTTAATTCTCTAGACATTCACGTGCCTATAACATTTTTAAGTGGCAATTTTTGGTCTTTATCCAATATTTTTAAAAATTTTGACAATGTTTATCACTGATAAATCACATTAACCTATATTAAAAAAATTTATAAAAATAAAAAGAAAATTCATTCAGCTATAGTACTTATATATTTTTTTTAATGTTTTAATTAATATAAACAGATGTTACTTCGATTATTTTACGCTTGAAAAGTAGATTAAAATTTCTTAAGAATGGATTTTTTAAATTCATTTTTTAAGGCATCGCATCGACCTTTCTACTTAGTAAATGAAGGCTCAGCTGTTTTGTTGCCAGATGAGTGAGATACAAAAAAAAAATATGGCGGCTATTTCAAGGCTCTACGTTTCTCTTTACAAATTCCTTTGCATCGAAACGAATGCAGGCAACATTAATCAAATTATTGCAACTGTTTAACGACTTTAGCATCATTTCTATACGAAATTTATAAAATTTTAGCAAAGAAATTTTTATAGAAAATAGTCCTACCCTCTTTTGTCCTTGAGAGTTCTCTGTTTACAAAAGTCGATTTGCTATTTTTAATTTCCTTTCCCGTATACGACGCTTTAAAGAATGAAAACTGCTCTTGCATCCCGTCTCTGCGAAATGTTGGAAATCTCTTGAATATCGTTTTACCCCTTTGAGGATTTCTTTAAGGTTTAGTATATAAAAATTTTATCTATAAAATAGAATATAATCGAGTTAAAATTAATTAACGTGTTCCAAAGTAAACAAGAAGTTAAATTTAATTGTAATACAACAGTATATTAGGGAACTTAATATAGAACATAATTTTAAGTCTCGTAAGTTTATTTTAAGGTTGATTACTTTGAAATATAATACGAAAAATATACATAAAGTAAGTTTTAATTTATTTGCTCATTTTTTTTATTATTATCAATTTTTACTTAATTTAATTAAATAAGGCCTTATTGAAATGTGTTCTGTTGCTGAAAATATCGTTTAGTTTCGTTATTTTCAATTTCTGGCATTTAATGATAAATAATAATTTTAATTCTGTATTATTTTAATTAATTTGTTTGTTTCTAATGTTTGTTGTTTAATTTTTATTTATTAAAATAAACGAATAAGTTTAATTTATTGTTATTTAATTACTCTATAAAATATTAAATTGATTGTTGTAATCGATTAGTTTAAATCTATTATTAATCACGTGCTTTAATTTAATTCCTTTCTGTATATTTCATTGTTGTAACTGATCGATTTAAATTCATTATTAGTCACGTGGCCTAATTTTATAATTGATTATTTTCTGTACATTTATTCATTGTTGTAACTGATTTGTTTTAATTGTTATTTAAAATAATTCAATAATTGAGTATTATTATATTGTTCTATTGATTGTAATTGATTATTTTCGAAATATAATCGAATCGAACACGTGGTCTATTCATTAAATACAGTATTTAATTTTTATTCTAATGAATTTTTTTCACTTTTCTGAATATTTCTTGGTATATTCTCTAACTAACAATATTTATTTTTATTAGTATTTTGCTATACTTTTTAATAAAAATTATTTTTTTTCGTAAATAAAGTAAAGATAATTGCTATATAAAATGATATATTTAGAATTTAAATCATTTATTTAATATTAAAAATAATCGTTTTCTGGTTAAACATAACAAAAATACAGAAATTAATCGTAAATTCAAAATATCATATTCATTAACTTGTAAGATAATCGAAGAATTTAATTCTTCTGATGATCGTAATTTTTATAAAACTTATGCCCAATTACTGGTGGTCGAACACGTTTTATTTCTTAGAATAACAGAAAAAATAAAAATAATAATTGGTTTTCCTCCTTTAGCTTTCGGGTTTTTGAAAAGTTTGACGTGTTGAGATCTCCTGAACCCAAAAGTCAAACAAAGGGGAAAATTCTGTGGGATGTGTATGTATTGGTATCTATTTAGTTTAATATATCGGGATGTAGTAAAGATTAAGAAACGAAATTAGGCATGTTAGCTTGTGTATAAGAGGCAGTAGTGCTATTAAATTTTGGTGGTTAAAGATCGACGGGATGAGAAGATAGAGGAGGTCATGTATCGTATCTCGAATGGAATCTGACTTAATGAAAATTTTACCCGTTATTGGCATTTACAATTATTATTATTTTTTTAAAATAAAACTCATCACTACCCTCAAAATTAAGTCTTTCTTTTTATATGAATTAATAATATAAAAGTTATTTTTTAATAAATTTGATAACGGATGGCGCCAAATACAATTTTAACTTTGTGCTAATGTGTTTTAGTTTTTCTCCAGGAAAGTTATACAACTCGGTGCTAGATTTTTTTTTCTACTCCTTGTCTTTCTTCTCTTCTTTTTTCTGCTTCTCCTTCCTTCTCTTCCTATTAGGATTTCCTCAATCAAAAGTTTCTTTAATTTTAGCCACCATCCCTCTCTATTCATCTCACCATTATTGCTCAGTCACTTTAATTCTACTTTTGAAAATTTTTAAATTTTGTAAACTAAATATAAATAATACTTTTTAAAATATTGATTTTCATTATTTACAGATTAGAATCGAATAAAGAAAACATAGTTCCATCCACAATTACTCCAGATATAACGTTACCTACTACGAAGCAGACTAAGGTGAGAAAACCATCTTTTATCATCTACACTATTTATATCTCACGCAAAAACTAACTTTTATTAAATTTATATGAAAGGTTACAGAACAATCTCAATATCAACAAATCAAATCGACAATAATTCGATCCGCTACGCCGCCCGTACTTACGAACGAATTGAAACCCGAACTCGTAGACATTCAAAGGAGGTCACCATCTTCAGAAAGGGTCATACCTATAGCTGTTAAAGATCGTCAACTCTTCACACCATCACCGGTCGAGGGGAGCATCAGCGATAAAACTGTAACGAAAGAAGTATCGTCGGATGGGAATAAAGTAGAGAAAACTACAACAGAAACTATACAGGAAACAAAGGGAAGCTGCCAGACTACTATCATCCGCAAGGAGACAGAATCTATCACTAAAGATACCTTCATAGCTGGAAAGAATGCACCCCAAATACTTTCTCAAGTCGTTCCGCAATCGTCTTCGTTCAAAATTTCAAAATTTGAGACAAAACAGGATCCAGTATGGAGACCTGTTGAGACGACTGAGATCGGAGATAAGATATCATCCACTGACGGATGGCAACCAAAACAGGTATTCTTCATTAGGATTTTGTGGCTTTCATATGATAATTTAAGCAATTATTAACTTTTTTATGGCCAAAATTTCTTATTTAATTTATAGAATTGTCCTTATTTAAATATTAAAAAAATAATAATTACTCTTCCTGACTTACACAGTACGTCTAATACGTCTATATTAAATACGTTTATAAAATAAAAGCTGTATTGCCAATTGAGTTAATATTGCTGCAAACTATGAAAATCAAACTTTTCTATTCATTCGTAAACTTAATATTGTAGCAATATATTAAAGGTTAGGATATACTATAGGATATATTAAAGATTATATATTAATTTAAATATTATATATATATAGATTGTAAAAGTATTTTCTGATAGATGTGACTATTTTTATGTGTAGTTTTGTAACATTTCTGTAGTGATTTTTCCATCTGTAATCTATTTCTTTCTTATGATTTCAGCCATTTATTTCAGAAAATTGATCGCTATTTTAAATTAATATAATCCACCGACAATAGATTTAAACCTTAAAGTTAACGGATATTTTTAAGTTATTCCATCAAAGTTTTAGGACTATATCTAGTCCTATTATTTGGCAATGAAACTTTTAAAATTATAAAATAGAAGACATTAAACTTACCCTTTCGATTTATTTAGATTTTCATTTATTTTTCTATTAACATAACTCTTAACTCTTAATTCCTAGTTATCTAACTTTTACATAAAATTTACATAACTATGTTGATAATTCTAAGAAAAATAAATGAAAATCTGTAAATAAATCGAAATCATAAGTTCATTGTCTTCTATTTTTATAATTTTACAAGTTTCGTTGCCAAACAATGCATCTTAACAACCACACTCGCATCAAAAGGTGCTTTTCATCGAATCTACACTCAAATTGAGTATATATAGAACAACATAGAAGCGTTTTCTCACCAAAAGTTAAAATAGTATCTTGCGTAACATTATATAATTACTGTTTTTGAAAGTTTTTCTTTCTCCATTTTGGCAAGCTGAGAAATTTAATCCGTCAAATTTTTCCTCCATCGATTTTAATTGTGAACGAAGAAAGAATACTGAAATAAATGGATATACTTTATCTTTCTATACTTTCCTTCTTTTATTATGTAGCAAATGAATTTTAGTTCGACAACAACCAAACAGAAAATAGAAAGCAAAATTAAGCCACCGAGACCGTTAAGTTGTCCAATTTTGGACAAGAGAAATTATAAAGAAGTTATTCAAGAGAAAAAATTGGTAAGATTGTGTAGGAGTTCTTACCAATTCATCCCTACTAACGCCTTAAAAATTCTCTAAACTGTGACTAAATACTGTTTAAACAGTACTTTTTAAATCGTTTTCCATCCTTATCAGCTGTTGAAAGTGATATATTATGAAATTAATGTCATTTCTGAATGATTAATTGTTGAAAATGACATTAATTTTGTGCCACGTGTGTTCTATTTGAAATTGTTACGTATTAAAAACGTCATTTTAACGTCTGTTATCCTCTTTTGTAACAGACAGGAGCCGTCAACAGTGTCGAAACCGTTAATAAAATAACGGAAACAGACTCAAGTAAAAACATCTGTCGACAACTAAGTGAAGAGAGTTTGACCCTACCACGAAAAAGTTAGCACCATCTGTCGTTGATATTCTTTACTAATTTTCGGTTATAGTAACAATTGATTAATTTATTTCAGAAAAACAATTTTCTTCGTCGAGTTTCTATGAAGATCCTCAAGTCTCTTATCCAACTATCCAGGAACAGGTGCAACTGTGTCGCCAGATTGCGGATTCTCTATGCGATGNAATAAAAAATGACAAAACACCATTTTAAAGTGCATTTTTATTCAACTAATATATTTATAAATAATATGTAGCCCAAAAAGTAGTCAATGTGCCAAATGATATTTTTTACATCAAACTAATAAAAGGGTAGCCAAATTTGGTGCAAAGTAGATGAATCTTGCAACGCTGGAAGGAATACTAAATAAAGCTGGAGTTGAGACTCAAAGGATTATAGACCCAAATGCAGGGAAAGGAGAAAGAGGACAAAAGATAAAGAAGTGAGGAAGGTTGGAAAATTAAGGGTCCATATTCCATAACAGGCAGTCTATTTAACCTTTCTCATTACTTTTTATCTTTAGGTCTTTTTCTCCTTTCCCCGAATTTGAGTCTATACTCCTTTGAGAGCCAACTCCAGCTTTATTTAGTATACCTTCCTCATTCACACATTTCTAAGTATTTGAAAATATTTCTTTTCCACTCAAAAATAAAATATGTATAAAGGTTTACAGCTTTGTGAAACTTTTTTTTTGAGTTTATGCTGTTGAAATAAATAAATAAATAATTTTAAAAAATGTCGGTTTTTGTGTACACATTTATTGGGCTGCATTCGAACTTCTCTTGGGCCGCATGCGGCCTACGAGCCACGGGTTGGACACCCCTGTTCTACACAATAACTGGATCAAACTACTAAGTACAACCAATAAAACCTTTAACATCCAGTAACCAACTTTAAAAATTGTCAAACGTTTTTGATTTTAAATGAGAGCTGCATAAGGTCATCAACAATATTCTAAATTGGAATGCATAGAACAATTTTTCAAAAAATTTTGAAATGATATTTGTTGATATTTTTAATGATATATTATGTTTTTGAAATTTTTCAAAAACATAAACCATATACAGTAAGACCCCACTTAACGTGGGGATGCATTCCTAGACAATAAAGCACTAAACGAAACAGCATTAAATGAGGTCATTTTAACAGAGTAAATAGGGATATGGGGAACATACAACCAAAAATAAAAAAATTTTACTTTTATTTTAAGTTATTTTTATATTAATTTGTATAATAATATATGTTAAATAACACATAAACATATGCACACAGAAATGTATAATAATATATTAATTAGTTTATTTTTTCTATATTAATAGATCATTTTTTGTGACAAACATCCTGACTTTTCTGAAATTCTTGTTTTCTTGCGATAAAGTCGTGTAGTTTCATTTGTCACTTTTTTTTCTTTCCTTAAACAAATGTCAATAGCAAGAGATTGCATCCAAAATGCTTCATCTTGCTTTTGCACTCCTTTCAAAATCTGGATCATTTGCTTCAATTTGATCAATGATTTCATTGATTGTACCAAACTTTTACTAAGGAAATCTGTAGAGAAATTTTTTGTTTTTTCGTTTTCAGAATCACTATTTTCCAGTTCTACAAAAATTCCTTGTTCTGCCAGTTCTTGAAGATTGTTGTTGGTAAGGCTCTCACCAGAAATCTGCGGTAACTCCTCAATACTCTATTCGTCTACATCTCCTAGTCCTGCTGTATCAANAGATTGTAAAAGTATTTTCTGATAGATGTGACTATTTTTATGTGTAGTTTTGTAACATTTCTGTAGTGATTTTTCCATCTGTAATCTATTTCTTTCTCATGATTTCAGCCATTTATTTCAGAAAATTGATCGCTATTTTAAATTAATATAATCCACCGACAATAGATTTAAACCTTAAAGTTAACGGATATTTTTAAGTTATTCCATCAAAGTTTTAGGACTATATCTAGTCCTATTATTTGGCAATGAAACTTTTAAAATTATAAAATAGAAGACATTAAACTTACCCTTTCGATTTATTTAGATTTTCATTTATTTTTCTATTAACATAACTCTTAACTCTTAATTCCTAGTTATCTAACTTTTACATAAAATTTACATAACTATGTTGATAATTCTAAGAAAAATAAATGAAAATCTGTAAATAAATCGAAATCATAAGTTCATTGTCTTCTATTTTTATAATTTTACAAGTTTCGTTGCCAAACAATGCATCTTAACAACCACACTCGCATCAAAAGGTGCTTTTCATCGAATCTACACTCAAATTGAGTATATATAGAACAACATAGAAGCGTTTTCTCACCAAAAGTTAAAATAGTATCTTGCGTAACATTATATAATTACTGTTTTTGAAAGTTTTTCTTTCTCCATTTTGGCAAGCTGAGAAATTTAATCCGTCAAATTTTTCCTCCATCGATTTTAATTGTGAACGAAGAAAGAATACTGAAATAAATGGATATACTTTATCTTTCTATACTTTCCTTCTTTTATTATGTAGCAAATGAATTTTAGTTCGACAACAACCAAACAGAAAATAGAAAGCAAAATTAAGCCACCGAGACCGTTAAGTTGTCCAATTTTGGACAAGAGAAATTATAAAGAAGTTATTCAAGAGAAAAAATTGGTAAGATTGTGTAGGAGTTCTTACCAATTCATCCCTACTAACGCCTTAAAAATTCTCTAAACTGTGACTAAATACTGTTTAAACAGTACTTTTTAAATCGTTTTCCATCCTTATCAGCTGTTGAAAGTGATATATTATGAAATTAATGTCATTTCTGAATGATTAATTGTTGAAAATGACATTAATTTTGTGCCACGTGTGTTCTATTTGAAATTGTTACGTATTAAAAACGTCATTTTAACGTCTGTTATCCTCTTTTGTAACAGACAGGAGCCGTCAACAGTGTCGAAACCGTTAATAAAATAACGGAAACAGACTCAAGTAAAAACATCTGTCGACAACTAAGTGAAGAGAGTTTGACCCTACCACGAAAAAGTTAGCACCATCTGTCGTTGATATTCTTTACTAATTTTCGGTTATAGTAACAATTGATTAATTTATTTCAGAAAAACAATTTTCTTCGTCGAGTTTCTATGAAGATCCTCAAGTCTCTTATCCAACTATCCAGGAACAGGTGCAACTGTGTCGCCAGATTGCGGATTCTCTATGCGATGAAAGTGGGAAAAAATCAAAGGGAGCTTCCCTTTTTGATAAAAAAATGAAAACGGCTAACAAATGGGTACACGAAAGTAAGTTCTAAATTCTCGTACGTATCCCATACAAACAAGAGATTGAAAGAGTTCAATGGGTACAAATACGTGAAGTGCGTTTGTACTCATTGGGCTCTTTCCATCTCGTGTCTGAAACCCAAGTAAAGTAGACAGATAGACATGTCTGACGTATGACAAGTTGTATGTAGATAAAGGATATAAAATTAACGTAAACTATATGCAAATTAATTGTGATTTTGTATATTACTCGTACCTTTTTATGATAACAGTAGCTAGGAAATCCCGTTTTGTATACAGTAGGTTAGTCTATAACAATACTAATTTTTAATTTATCCTCTGTTAATATAAATATTCTAATCTTGTGAAGTTAAATTTTTAATTATAATTTACAGTTGAATTATGTTCGCTTAAAGTAAATGAGAACAAAGTAGGTGACATAAAAGCACATGATTTAGAATAGTTATTTTAGTAACTAAATCTGGGTTTAAACCGGTACTGAAATTTTTAAATCTTTGGCAAACTAAATTTGGTATAATTTTTTTATTTGTAAACTAAATATTTCGTCTCTGAAATATTTAAATAAATTAATAAATGCATACGAATTTGTGGTTAATTATAATACTGTATGTGATATAGGAAATGCAAGATCTTATAAATTTGGGTCTAATCTTTTTATGTTCAGATGCAATATTTACACTTTATAGTCAAATTTTCGAATAATGATACCTTGAAAAATAAGTTTTGTTAACTCTAGTTGCAAAAGTAATGTAAGGTAGAATTCTCTCTTAAAATATAAACTTTCGTGTCGTTCCGGGTTCGGGTTCAACTTGCATGGTATGTTGGACATGTGCCATGATGTCTCTTCTTTCGATCTTATTCTCACTCTTTCATCAGTCTAAACTGCTGTTGATATTTTTACTTTGTAGCTTTTCATACGCCGTTTGGTAATAAAGGGAGGGTGACCTTCACTTCGTGCAACGACCTCATTAACCGGTTGTGAACCTCATTTATAAACTTGAATATAAATATTTTTTTTTTACAATCCAGATCCCGATGCATCTGTAACTGAAGATGATCCTTCTATGTCCGAAGTTAAAGAAGATTACCAGGAGAAGGAACCTAAAGATATGCCACCCCGTCCGAAGAGTAAAACACCTCCTAACTTGAAACTAATCTTAGACCCGAGATTGCCGCAGAATGTTGAGATGTTAAGAGTAGCCGGACAACAGATAAGCGAGCATAATGTCGTTAGTCCGGACGTATGTCTGGATCTTGTTAAAGATCTAGAGAGCCCTATGGGGAAAGGTAGCGCACTGTTCGCTAAAAGGAAACAGAAGGCTGAAGATTGGGTAGTGGACGAAGAAATAGTCAAAGCGCACACCAAAACACCAGAGCCAATCCCCGAACCGCCAGTGCCTAGTTTGCGAAAACTTCAAGAGAAGTTCCAACATCCCAAATTGAAATTGGTAAAGAGCCCATGGGAAGCGGCTCTTCAGTCACCTATAGGTTGCTGCGATGGGGCCTTTGCGGATGCCAGACCAGTTAAATTAGCCGAAAGTGTTATCAAGGCAGCCGAAAATAAGATTAGATCAAATTCGCAATCCCCCATATCGGAAAATGGCTCTGTAGCTTCTTATACCGCGTGCGCTCCAGTTACGGGTGTATACAGGCAAGCACCACGTGGATGGATAGGAAATGCTCAAGGTAAGACTTTACATTCGAGCGTGCCACCCCAAAGTAGTCCTTTGTTAATCACTATTATTTTCTTCTTGATAGGGGAAAGCTCTCCAACTTCAGGTTTCTCGTCTCCAGATTTCAGTTCTCAGCGTTATTCGACACCCACTAGGCCCCATGGCGTAAAATCTAACTATCAAAACTTCAATACTGTTCCGAAAACGTGGAAACAGGCGCAGCAAAGTAAGAGTGTTGCACCAACTACCTTCAGATCCGTCAGGCCCCCTAATTGGCATAAATAAATCCTTGCAAATTTCAACACAGTTCTACAATAATTAGCTACATTTTACATCCCTCAAATGCCGTTATTTTCTTTTAAAATGCTCTTAAAATATGCAAATCTGGTCTAGATAAACCTCAAAAAAGTATTATTTTTAGAGATTTCTCGCGCTGTCGACAATATGAAAACTGTAATTCTATTATATAATTTTTTCGGTCTGGTGTGTGATTTTGTGTCATATTTGACGTATTTAATACGGTTTTTTGGAAGCTTTTAATCAGTTTATTGCATTTATAGTGTAAAGTTTAAGTCGTTACAATTATAATATTTGTTATGTATGACATTGAAAAAATAAATAAATAAAATGGATGTCAAACTATGTTTACTTTCATAATTTAATGTTTATTCTCCACAGAACTTGACTTGATCACCAGGATAATTTCAATTTTAGGCTATAATCATTTTAGGACATGATCATCTGAGACTTGTCATTGTCACTAGCTTTTTCAGAGGGATAGAAGCCTGAAGTACCTTGATCGAAATCTCTAAAAGAACATTGACACAAGGGCCTGAGAACAATGATATAGGACCTAGACCAAACATAAAAGTAGGGCCAACTTTTTATTTGAAAGTCATGAATAGGCACCATTTATGAAAATAAATTAAAATTTCTTTTCATAAATGGTGCCCTGTTCATAAAACGTTTTACTTTCCTGGCTGTTATGTATATATAACAAGGAAAGTATTGGAATCGTGTCAGATTTGGCCCTCCGAAATTTTTGCAAATCTCCACGTTTTTGAGACCTTCTGAACCCAAAAAAACGGCAAAAAAATTTTATGAATATGTATATGTGTGTGTATATTGTGTGTATATAGTGGTATCTATTTTGTTTAATATCTCATGGTGGGATAAGAATTAAGAAACAAAATTTGGCATAATATCTTGTGTATAAGAGGCATTAATGCTATTAAATTTTGGTGATTAAAGGTCGAGAGAGGTGGGAAGATAGAAGAGGTCATGTATCATATCTCGAGTGCAGTAAGACTTAATGATTTTACTCTTTATTAGCATTTACAATTGTTTTATAAAATTCAGCTTCAGCTCTACCCACAAAATTAACCTTTTGCCATTTTATAATAATTAATAATAATACAAGTTTTTAATAACAAAATCTAGTAACAGATGGCGTTACACGCAATTTTATTTATTACGATTAATAATATAAATATTATTTTAAAAATAAAATCTCATAACAGTCAGAAAAGTTACATAACTCGTTGCTACATTTTTTAACATAGGTGTTACAGTCCCTCTGTATCTGGGTCCATGTATGGGACCGTAACAAACGGCTCTGATAGTTCCATTCTATCTGAGCCTAATGATTATTATCATGGCTGCATTTACTGTAGACTTGTTATGGCCCTGTGTTAAATAAGCTCTTCTTTCTCCATCAAATGATAATACTGTACAGTACATTTAAATACACGAGATTCTTGTATTTAAATGTAAGGCCTCAAAATTTATCTTGTTTAACTTATGTGTAATTGTCTTAATCGTTATATTAATTTTATAATTATCAAATTTTATGTTCGCTTCAATGTTAAGTAATCGAATGTAACCATTAAAGCACTAATCCTATAACAAGATCTAAAATTTGAATATCAAAATTTGATCTGAATAATTTGAAATTTGAACAAATAACCGTAAATTATTGAATATTTCTTCACAGTTTTCATAAAATTTGTAATGCGAAAATCCAATTATAGGCTACAAGCCAACTTGAAGCATTGCAATTTGATACTTATGGCTAATTTTTAATTAAATTAAATCATAAAACATAAATAATCAGTTACTGTTAAACACTAAAGGAAAAAATGTCCTATAAAGAAATTTTTGGCCGTCTTCTTTTAAATTTTCTCTCTTATAATTAGACTATAATTAGTCAGTGGCAATTCTTAAATTCTGAACTACAAAGTAATCCATTCAAAATCTATAATTATAACAACACAGAAAATTGTATAAATCTAAAATTTAGGAAGAAATGTAAATAGTTTTATCGTGATTTTTTGCTGAATATTGTCATGTCGATAGAACGATCTGAAGGGAAAATGTTTGCAATAACTTCCGTCTTCGTTCGTGTGATAAATATCCAATTAAAAAAAGGAAATTGACTTATCAAATTTACACTGAAGTAAAATATATATGTTACATTTATTAAAAATGATAATAATAAACTTTCAAACTGTCTTTAATTCGTATATTGAAGTTCGTACTATTTATATTACAACTTTATTAGCTATCTGATATTATAATATAAGAATTGATGTGATGTAACTTCAATTAGTAGTTGTTTTATTTATTAACCTTCTATAAAATTTGATATAAAAACAAATATACATATAGTTAAAATGCAGTGCAATATCCTAGGATTTCCTAGCTCACAAAGAGACAACGTTTAGTTAAAGAGTATTACGCGAATCTGCAGAAACTCACTTAATTCCAATTACACTTACGTTGCGTTAACATTAAAAGGCAAAAGCATCATACCCAAAATTATTATAAATTTAAAACCCCAAGGGAGAAAAAGCAAACCCCAGTTTTCCCTTGAGGAATAAGACAATCTGCGGATTGCCCAATAAACTGAGATACCTAAGATGGACACAATTCGAAATTAGAAGTTATTTCGGACTTCATTATTTTATAATGGGCAATCCTGCATTTGATCAAGCAATCCTAGCATTGCTATATAGACATATACAGGTATTATACGCAATGTCTACGTGCTTTCGACAAAACGTAATATTAATACATAAAAACTTGCATTATCCTGCAGGAAATCCAAGATCTGTTCATCAATTTTCTTTGTATAAATTTTGAGCTGCATTTCAGACAAACTTCAAATAAGCTTTAGTGTTGCTTCGACCTTCAATATATACCAGATCTCTCGTTTCATTCCATCCAATTCCTGCCCAGGTCATGAGTTCCATCATCACTCTTTGAGTACTGCTTCTGATCTAGTCTTTGGTCTGCCCAGTAGCGTAGCGTAGTGAGGGCGGCAGGGGCGGCCCGCCCCGGGCTGCACTTTTTAGGGGGCGGAAAATTACGTTTTAGGGGGTAGCAAAATTTCACAATAAATAATAATATCTTGTAAGATATTATAAATAAGGANTCTGCCAGTGGCGCCCGGGGCAAGCTGCCCCACCCTCTGCTGAGAGGTTTTCTTCGTTTTTGGGCGATAGGAAATTCGGAAGTTCCTCGAGGACAGGCAGTCTCAAAGGATTAACCAATGGTGTATAGCAGCCTTAAACAACGGTCATTCTTGGCTGGGACTCCGACGAGATAGGACGGAAGGAGTGGATTCTCTAGTGCATTTTGGCAGTGCATAGAGAAGTCAGATGAAAGAATCAAGAAAAATTCAATTGAGAAAAATTATTGAGCTCCAAGATTTCCATCAAAGTGAACTGAGAAGGAATAAGAACTATCAAACAACTCCAAAAGAACAAGCGTTCTGGAAATCCACCACCCCAAGATTATCACCAGTACTTGGGTACCCACTTTCCTCTGCCCTCTATTCTATCATTGGTTTCTGATTCTTAAATTCTCCCTCACTTAGTTGTAATTAGCCGTAGTTAGTTGTAATTATAGTTATAATATATGTATTGCAAAATTATTGAAGATGGGAATTGATTGTGTCGTGAAAATAGAACTGATAACAACCTGATAAAAATTGTAGTATGGCTTGTATTATACTTTTGTACTGGGACAAGAGAATGGGACAGAAAATTTTGCATGAATTCAGACAGAGAAAAACCTGTATGAATTCATGCAAAATAAAGATATTTCTTATATATAGTTGTATTTTGTAACTCTATTTGCATCTCACATCACACCACATTTATATAGGGGAAACCAAGATGGAACACCAAACAAGATTTGGGGAGCACATCCGAGCAATAAAAAATAATGACAATAAATCTGCAATTGCTAAACACTAACGAAAATAGATGTGAAATAAAAGAAACTACAAAAGTTCAAAAATGCAAAAAAATATGTTTAAACAAAAAGTATTTGAACATTTAGAAATTATAAAAGTAGATAATAATAAAAGAATAAACAAAAGTACAGGCCTACAGATACATGAGTCTTGGGAAGGTCCTAACAGATAATTTGTTTATTTTTCACTACCTAACACATATTTGAGCCAGAGTGAAACACACTCAAAGGAAAAGTAAATGCAGATGTGTGAGAGGTAGCTTGTAAATTTCCAGTGTGTAAAATAGTGATGCAGTATGGATTCATTAGATTCCATAATTTTGCATAGAATAGTACAGAATTTTCTTTCCAAATTTGTGTGTCTAGGATAAAATGTATCCTTTTAGAGGATTCTGTTGCATACAAGTACATATGTTGAGAAGTTTTTATTATAAAACTAATAATGTATGTGCATATACCTAGAAATCTGCAAAGAGATCTATGTGTCATGACTGAAGAGGACCCTGTTAGGACTTAAATGCATATCAAAATAAATACATAGAAGAAAATTGTGTCTTGAGGTCATTCTGTCCTGTGGCTGTCCAGTTTGATAAGTCCATTTATAGCGATGGTTCCCAAACTTATACCCACAGACCCCTTCTCATAACAAAAACCTGGCCATATCATGAACCCCCAAGTGAATAACTCTACACAACTATATAATAGCAAAATTACAAATTTAACTTTAATGTCGTGAATGGTGAATGATAACGTAAAAATAAAATATAAATAAAACATTTTGATATTTNCGGCACACGTGCCGGGCTGTGATTGGCTTTAAGTGATCGTAAAACACGAATTCATATATAACGGAACGTATCTACCGTATTATAGGGGAGTCTACTGTACTTAAAGCCATCAGGTCCATCGAGAAAATTACTTATCGTCATCCTTCTTATCTTTCGAACTTTTTTCTGCCAAAGTGTAATCGAAGTTGTTTGTGTTTCTGTTTTTGTTTCTGCTTGAGCTGGTTGCCTCTCTTCATTTTGATGAAAGAAACATTGTTGATCTCAAAACACAGAGATGTGCATTTCTTTACAATACAGTGTTGGAAATTCATATTTATATTTCATGATGTTTTTTTCTACTGTCTTTTCAATAGGAAGGCGCTGACAGCAAATTGGTTGGATGTTGAAATTTTGCTGTGTTTTAATTTGTGTTTTTTACGAAAATTCAATTCTTTGTTTCACTTTGTATATTTTTGGAATCTGCTCGTGACAGGGAACACGACGATGTTACTTTTAGGAAGATCGGACCAATTTTGGGACAATTACAACAACTGGAAAATTTTGGAATTCTCGGGACATTTATCCGGCGGTCAATAACCGATTTTCCGGACTATATTATGAGACCTTATTTGCACTATCTCTGTAAGTAGGTCTTACAAATTTCGTGGTTTTAGGACTGTTATTTACGGAAATATGACTACTTCCGGTTGATTTACGGCAATTCATAGCTGGCTTCAGGGGACGAATTTCTGAAAAAGTTTTGCACAGTCATTGAAAATATAAAAAAATGTCATATGTGTACCAATTTTCCTCTCGATACCTCCAACAACGTTTGAATTATGGCGATTCCATTGAATTTTCCTAATCCCCCAATTTGTATTCGATGTCGTTGCCGTAGAAATGGTTGTTGTCTTTTGGTGGATTTTCGAAAATTGAAGGCAATTGTGGATTGACGTATTCGTTTTCTTAATATATTAGACTTATATTTTTTTGGAAACGTTTTGACAATACTAAGACGATCAGCTTATTTTCAAGACAATTCAACAATTCATTATCCCGGCAGATTAAATATGAAGTAGACTGTGTGGAAACCTTAATTAAACCATTAAACCATTAAAAGCACAGATGAGAATAGTCTATGGTCACATAGGGAAATCAGAGATCCCATAAAGTCTAAACAAGGTTTTTGTACTACATTTAAAACTTACTTAGAAGCTGCAACTATACCAAACAATGTTGGTCCTCTTGTTACATGGCAGTCAACGTTTGTCCATTTCAAATATCACCTTGCGAAACTGTTACATATTTAGGTATTCCAGCTACCTGCAGAACGTCTTTTTTCAAAAGTTGGAAATATTATTACAAAGAAACGATGTGCATTGCATCCAAAAAGAGTTGAGAAACTTGCTATTATGAGTAGCTTTGAGTTTAATGATATACTTTCATTTCCATTATACAGTAGTTTGTTTTGTAATATTGTGTAAATTTGCAATTACAAATTAATGAATATTCTATAAAAATATGAAACCTGATAGTGGTCTTTTTGTTAACAAGTATTATTAAAAATAATAGTGTTTTACTAATTTAATAAACACTGTTGTTACTAAAGGTGTGGTAATCGATTGATAATCGATTATCCTAATCGATTTCTGTAATTGATTTTCATTTTTTAGGTAATCGCCCAGCACTATTGTTCACATTTTACTAGCGCTACCACAAAATGCGGTGACAGCCGTAAGGATATTAAAAAATTTTCAAGCTAGAATAAATATCTAATTATATAATTTATTTAAAATTATTTTAAAATATATATTTATAAAGTATTNACAGGTTTTTATAGGGGATTTAATAATATCCAGGTGGGTTTTTACATGGGGTTATTGTCTGGAGGGGATTTTTCTCCAGGAGATTATTGTCGGGGGTTGTTATCCAGGATTGTATGAAACCAATTATTGTTTTTTGTAAATCATTTTTTTAATACGTAACGATAAAAGTCGAAGGTGTAGTAGTAAGATAAATATTGAAAAATGGAAGATAAAATGCGGAATTTGAAGTATTTATGTTCGTTATTCGTGGTATTAGCGGTAACTAGAGTAATCTCTCTGCCGATAAAAGAAACGTGTATTATTCCGCCCGAATTAGTGAAATCTTTCTCTACTGAATTAAGTGAAAACGTTAAAAGTTGTCGAGCTGTTGATGCTGTTGATATTAAATACTGTGGCGATATCCAGAACTTGGCACGTGATATAAGCAATTGTACCCTCGGGAAAATATGGGAGATAAAAGAACAGAGAGAGAAACTGATCAACAGCAGCAGAAATATGCCTTTCAATGAAGATGTTGATGTATGTATGAATTTTGCAAATTCGTCGAGTATCATTGAACCTTATAGAAGTGAAAATGAAGCTGTGAGTGTTCAGCTGTCTAAAGATTCAACGTTTTGTAATGATTTCTGCACGAGTCATCCGAAAGTTTGCCCATTGCTCTTGAAGTTGTATTGGGTTAAAAAAACCGTGATGGAGTATAAAAATGGTAAGAAGTAAACTTTAAATAAGTTAAAATCATTACAAATACACATTTTTCATATTTTTGTATTGAGAGTAAAGTAATGGTGTGTCGATGAAATAGTAAACCATACGGTTATGTGTGCAGCTCTGAATGAGGTGGTCGGTACGTTATCGAAGATGTAGACGATGGCTGCGTTTGGCAGACGCTACAGTTCGGAGCTGTTGAGTATTTTTCTGCCAAACGCCCTCTATAGTAGCGCTGTTTTGTAATGTGTTTGTTTGATGTCACATTTAGTAGCATCTTTCATTTACGCTATCCAAAACTGACTGATGATGGCTACTTTTTGTTCCGACACATACATCACTCGTTGTTTGGCAGATGTACCAATTTTGTTGTTTGCAGATGTACAGCAGATGTCAGTACAGCATGCCTTTGCTCGGTTACAACTGTTTACTCTGCTGAATGCAGCCAATACCCATAGGAGTAAAAAGAGTTGACCCTTATCCAGATGAGTCTTTTCCACTATTCTCAACATATTAATATTTATATTTTTTTTTTATTTAAGATTACTACTTGCTGCTTTATGTATTTGTCGATTTATGTTCACAAAATTTTATTCATTTTGTGTATATTGATATAAAATAATATAAATTAAAATAAATATATCTTCAAATAGATAGTGTGTGTCTGATAGACTCACTGTGTAAGAGGTACATTTTTCTTGTTGAGATAGGCAGAAAGCATTATGCAGACTTTGTTGTTGCTTGTAGGTGCTGCTTCTTGCCATTAGTGAATTACTAAAGTTTCAAGTTACTTGCTGTAAAATTACAAATATTTGTAGCAAGTAACATTAAATTTATTTTGTTTGAGATAACATCTACTTTAATTGTTAAAATGTCTCACTGTGTTTTGTCTGATTAAGAATTTCAGGAAGTTATACATATCCTCGGTGACGATGAACTGATTGTATTTGGTAATGTTGAGGAAGAAAATTATGAAAAGTCTGGCACGAATCAAAATTATCAGATGTTTTGGACGATATAATCACTTTTGAATTTGAAAAGGATGATCAATATTTGGATACAATGGTAGGCCAACATGGTCTTCCATTTTATCTTGTCAAAAGCTCAATTATGTAATAATATAAAAAGTGATTTACATAGTGGCCAAGTCATTCTTTGACATGGAAAAAAGTTATCGATATACTTGAGTTTTCACTTATTTGTAACATCTGATATAATTTTACAAATCGTTTGGTTTACAAACCAAGAAACTATATGAGTATACAGTAACCATTATCTGAGACACCAATGAAAACTATCTGACAATACAAATCCAACCATTTTTGGACTTCTTACTGCAAAATGTCTGAAACTCAATGACCCAAGTTCAAGGTTTTGTGGTATTCTGTTTACAGTTTTCCTATTTTCAGAGCTGCTATGGGACACTGATCATTCAAGCATTGTGGGGCATTAGATTTTACAGTATTATTAAAATTCAAGATTAGATCACCATAAGAAAGACAAGTTACCTCTGATATACTGTTCTAGTGGAGAAGAACTAGAAAAGTAAAAACAATATTTCATGTGCCCTATGAACAAGTCTGGAATTGAAAAACAACATTTTGATGTATGCAATATATGCCATACTTGTAAAAATAAGTTGAAATAAAATTTATTGGCATAGTGTAATTCAAAGGATTAATAAAAAAAAAAAACATGTTTTGTACTAATAATGTAGTTTAAAATAACAATAACATAAAAGAAAAATGTATATCACTCCAAAGAATTCATGCTGAATCCATTGGACTCACCTTATCCATTTTTGTTTTAAAAATATCTTATCCAGAGAAGGGTTAAAGGAACTGATAGTCTACATGTTTACCTTTGCAAGATATAGTCCCCCCAAAATCAGCTATCTGTAATTTTGAAGACCCTCAAAAATAGAATAAAACTTAAAAGTAAAAAATTCCAGAACTATTTCTCAAAACAATGTTAAAAATCAACTGTTTTCCACTTTACTAGAGATGGAAAAAACTCATAAAACATAAATGCCATTGCACCAACTACTTCCAGGCTGAGATCCAAGTCATGCTGTGTGCTCTCTTAAGTCTATCACATGTTTAACAAATAGTCTGGTCAGATTTTAGGTGGCTGTACGCTGCAAATACTTGTGTAGACCATTGGTTCCTTTAACTTTTTTACTCCTTTGGCATGGTCAACAGCTCTTGATAAAGTCCCAATTGCCTCATTCTGTTTGTATCCAATGTGTTATATGACACATTTATGATTTCTGTTGATCAAGTTTTACAGAATTACTGCTTGAGTGTGAGATAACTTTACTATAGATTGTATGAAACCAATTATTGTTTTTTGTAAATCATTTTTTATGTGTTAGATGCGTTACAATTTATAGCATTGCTATGCATATATTGCTATTGTTAATTTAGATAATTTACAGTCGACCCCCGTATAAGATCATTGATTATTCCGTTTTATATGAATTCCATGTTGTACGAGTCACTTAAATTTTACAAATACGTGAGCCGTTCACAGCCCGGTACATGTATTTGTAAAATCTAAGTGACTCGTACAACATGGAATTCATATAAAATGGAATAATCAATGATCTTATAGGGGGGTCGACTGTATTTCATATTTTGGGCATTATTTATTAACAAAATCACATACGTTTTGAAAATGTCAACAAAATCTTTTTATTTTATGTAATTAATGTTAATTTTTTGCAGTTAACAAATGTAGAATTTAACATTATAACTCATCAGTTATATTCTATGTAATAGTTTTAATGCTTAACCTTTAGAACAGCTGTTTTCATTTACGATTGAAGGATATGTTTTTCCATTAAATTTTATCAATGTTGCGATTTTTTATTAAATTTTTTTTACTTGTTATAATTAATTAAATAATATAAATTTTACTTGAATTTTTTGTTAGACTCTGTAAGTTACATATAAATGTATAAATAAAATTACCTTCTACACCAGGGATGTCCAACCTTTTTGTTTCTGTGGGCCACATTGGAAGAAGTCGTGGAGTTTTGGGCCACAAGTATATTTTGACCCAATCCTTAAATATACAAGTATATTTAAGTATTAACATGTCTAGATTATAGTAATAAGTATTAAAAGTTTACTACAAAAAAGAATATTTTTAAAAATTACTTTTACAGACACTTTCAATTTTTACTTAGAAATAGATAAATTAATTTATTATAAAGGAGACAAACAAAAATTTATTTGAAAAACATGTTTTATTTGAGTCTCTAATTAATAAAAAATGACAAAACACCATTTTAAAGTGCATTTTTATTCAACTAATATATTTATAAATAATATGTAGCCCAAAAAGTAGCCAATGTGCCAAATGATATTTTTTATGCCAAACTAAAAAAAGGGTAGCCAAATTTGGCACAAAGTAGCCAAATCTTGCAACGCTGAAAGGAATATTAAATAAAGCTGGAGTTGGGATTCAAAG